CCCCAAAACCCCAAAACCCCAAAACCCCAAAACCCCTAAGAGGTAAATTAAAATTGTTTTAAATAAATCAAAATGGACCTAACTGTAGCTCAACATCAGGCTGCTGACGATCAGTAAGATATTATTATTCCTAATTAGCTCTATTTTCTCTTTTTACAAAATAAAACATATTATATATTTATTAGCTACTTTTTATTTGAACTACTGAGAACCTGGTTCGTTAATTCCCTCTTTTTGCTCGATGTGAATCTTATTCCAAGTGGTTAGAATGAAGTACAATTAAATACAGCAAGGAAAATTGGTTTAGCGTTTAAAAGAATAGATTGACTAACAGTGTACCGTAATAGTTTCTATCATTAAAGACGAATTGTCATAAAGCCATTGAAAATCATTTTGGATGACTATCTCCTGACTTATTAAACATTTACTTGCAAAAACCATACTTCATCGAACTTTGACCTAACTTTACTCAAGACCTTGATCAGAATTTTCATGGAAAAGCTTTTCTGAGAAATCCATTATTGGAAAAGGTAGTTTTGGAACGATCTACAAGGCAAAATGTAAGTTTTCTCATAACATTTAAGACAAAGAAAAATGGTATGTTATCAAAGTGATTGACCTTGGTTCCCTGAGTGACGAGAAGAGTATGCAAGCAATTGAAGAGGTCAATATCCATAGCAAGTGTAAATCCCAGTACATTGTTGATTACTATGACTCTTTCCTTGATGAAGTAGACAAAGGAGAGAGACTTAATATTGTGCTTGAGTACTGAGAAAATGGAGATCTTCATTCCTTATTGGCAAAAAGAACTCAATATTTGCCTGAACAAGAGATTTGGTCCTTTTTCATCCAAATAACTCTTGGAGTTCATCATTTGCATAGCCAAGATATCATTCATAGAGATATGAAGAGTTTGAATATCTTCTTGAGCGAGGGAAATAAAGTAAAGATTGGAGATCTTGGATCAGCTTCAGATAATAGCCAAGATAACGGAAAAGATCGTATCATTTTGCAATAATCTTATAGAGGTCAGCACTCCTTACTACTTCTCTCCAGAGTTATGTAGAGGAGAGAAATACACTGATAAATGTGACATATGGGCTCTTGGTTGTATCCTATACGAGATGTGATACTTGAAACGACCTTTTGAAGGGAATGAATTTGATGAACTGAAGGATCGTATTCTTCATGAGCAATTCGAGCCAATTCCAGATTTTTATTCAAAGGAGTTAAGAGTAATGCACCCTTACTTAATTATAGACTCTTTCAGCACAGTTGCTAAATAAGAATGCAACTAAAAGACCATCAGCTGAGGATCTAATCATTATGGATAACTTTATAGCAAATTCAAAATAAGTTAGGCATAGTAATTCCAACCAAAATAAAGTTTTTAACTATAAATTCTACAAAAGAGTCTTTTCAATCAGATGTCTCCTACTCATTAGCAAAGAGTTGTGAGAAGTTATCTAGCAAGATCCCTGATCTACAGAACCCCAAGAATGTAGAATCATTTGCTCCATACACAGATTGTAACCGAATGTCAGTTGAGCCAAGAGAGAGAAGTGGAAATAAAAGAATGATGACTCAGCTCAAAACTGCCTTAAGAAATACAAACCGTAATTTCTTTGCCATTCGCAAGAAGAAGGTAAGTTGAGGATTGATTATCTCACATTTTAGGCTAAAAACTCTACTAAATAAAAGGATGGAATACGACAAGCTTGTTAGAAGGAGGAACAAGCAAAGTATGTCTAAGAGCAAGAAGAAAATTTCCAGAGATTTTAATAATATTGATCCAATTAAGCATATTTATCATGCTTGAAAGTAATTTTACTCTGATAACATTTGTTAGAGAGGAAAATCGACCCTCATCCTCAAGCGACAAATATTTGTCAATTTCTGGAATTAGAAACTCAACAAACATCTCAGGCTTCTCATAGTAAGTGAAAAATATAGTTGAATGGAACTCTTTACTCATGCCATGTTTCGATGATCCAGATCTTTTTAAACCCTCAGCTCATAATTTAATTCCCTCAGATTTTTGTAAATTCCATAAAAATGTCTATCTCAACTTCAAACTTTTCTTATATGAATAAATTTTGTTTTAACATGACATATAGCTACTCCAAAATTTCAAACTCAAAAATTCTTCACCAAAAAGACAGCAATACGTACTCTTCAAGCTTAACCTCTAGCGTATACTCCACTCTAAGCTCAAGGCTTATTGAAGAACGAAAATCTGCAAAGAAAACTCAGAAAATTGCTAAAAAGAACGAGGAAATCCTTACCAACATTCCGTGAACTATGAAGCCTAAGAAGAGTAAGGCCTCTGCTTACCTCTAGTCGTGGTTTGTGATCTAGCCAGTCAACAAAATTCTGAAGGTACTTCTGCCAAGATTATTATTCAATACCTAACATTACAATCCTCCCAGTCCTTCAACCCAATATAGTTGACCGAAGCATGAAGATCAGTGTGAAGAGGTGCCGACTCAAGAAGGAAGCTTCAAATACGAGTAAACTAGGTAGGCTTATGAAACTGAAGACTTCAGTGGGATTTTGGGCTGTTCTTAAGGATTTTTATAGAGCAAATTCGGAAAAGTTGTGAGGTCGTGGGGTAAGTCTTTTAGGAGTGGGGCGGGAAGTTGGAATTTAGAGGGAATTTGGGGGGGTTTGGAGAGTTAGGGGTATATTTTTGGAAATAGAAGCTCGGAGACAGAGAGATGTTTACAAAAATGGATGGAAAAATAGGATCCTACAGAAAAAGAACCAGGAAAGTAGAATTCCTAGTATCAGAGAGAAGGTCAACATGAGTCCGGATGGTAGATATTATGAATGATTGTGTAGAAATAAAAGAGAGGATTTCTTCATTGACCAAGAGTAGATTGAAGAAGTTCAACTGTATGAAAAGAAAGAACCAGGCTAGTGAGGTTAAAGGGAGAAACTATTTCCAAATCCATAAGACAGCCTCTTCAAAACATTTTAAGTACGAATCCTTTTAATTTTAAGGGAGAAAACCAACTCTAATAGATTCAGCAATCCTAAAAAGAAAATGAAGGCTAAAAGTAAGTAGTCTTTCTTCTGAATTTAAGTGAATATTCTTTATAGGGCTCGTTAAAGAGAGAAGTAAGCTCAAAATTTCACAGACAAAAAATTATCTAGGTACTAATGACAACTCGTCAGCCGTTAAATATTTGAGTAATCAGTTTTCACCTGGTAAGAAGTTCATCTAAGTTTTTAGAAGATTTATTCTCTCTGAATATTCAGGATGCCACAGAGGAAGGCTTCCTGCTTGATCCAGATGCCAAATCTGGGCAACCTCTTGAAAACGAAAGGTATTTTTAGCAGTTAAAGTTCAGTATTTCCATTTCAGGAAGTGAACTTATTGATGAAATCAAGAAGGATGAAATAAATCTTGTTCCTGATGGTAATATCCAATAACAATTATTTATAGCTCTTGAAATCCCACAAAATCCATTTGAGTTATCCCATGTATCTGATGAAAATTACAAAGATACTTTCTCAGAGCCACAAACGGTCAAGAGTGTTAGAAAAGAATTCTCAGCTGACGCTAACTTGTAAGGTGTATATATTTATATAAATAGAGAACAAAATCTTGGAATTATTGACTTGACAAGAAACTCAGGAAGGTTAACTGCTAGAAATCATACTTCAAAGAAAAATAGAAAACATTACTTAGAAGTATTAGAGTGAGGCCTAATATCTTCCGTCTAATATTGCATAGGAGTCCCAATCCAGTGCCACCCAGCTTTGTTCCTTCTACTGAGATCGATCTTCCTCAAAATACTGAGGGAAGGTTTTCAAAATCTCAGTATGAAATGGTATCTTTTGTTATAATCAAATTTAGGTTAAAAATGTACACTCTCCAAGAAATGAAGGCAACCCTGAATCTTCTCCCTCAAAAGAAGCTGAAGACTCTACTGAGAAAAAATGACTCTCAATGTGAAATGGTGATGAACAACTTCTGCAAAAATTCGACAAAGAAGTTATCAAAATTTTACAAATAGTAAAGAAAATATGTTCATTTCTAGGGCTATAACCTACAAAAGAAGTTGAGAGAGGAAGTTTCCTCGAGTATTCCTGAAGGGTAAGCTTCATAGATAATCTCTAGTGCGAATGTGGATGCTTTAATCCAGCTTTTATATTCCAAAAATTTACAGTCTCCTACATAAATGAGGATTCAAAGGAAGAATATCAAAGGGTACTCTTTAAGAACTACCAAAGCACAAATGATAATTATATTTTCATTTTTCCAATAAATGATATAAATTTGGGGTTTTGGGGTTTTGGGGTTTTGGGGTTTTGGGG